GCACACACGGCACCTGGAATGTTTCTCTAGTTCAGGTCTGAAACTAGAACTATGGCTGGCCATGCTGGCCAGGTGCAAGTGCAGCACCTTAACCAGCCCGCCATCTGCTGGCCCCTAGATGTTTCTTTCGGCAATGTGGAATATGGATTAAGAGAGGGCAAGACTGAAAGCAGGAAGACCAATGAGGAAAGGAGAGGCTAGCAACTGGTCAGCAGAAGAGGACAGTTCCCTGGACAACTCCACACACTGACCAGAGCTAAAGAGAAAGCAAACCAGGTGTCAAGGATAAATTCATCTGTGCTGCATAAGAGACCACAAGCTCTGGAAGCTCCTAGTCCTCAAGCCTCCAATTTTACTAGTGAGACGTGGGAAATGAGGAAGGTCAACAGGCCAATTTTGAGAACCGGGGCCTGAAGGCTCTCTTTGCAGCCAGGTTAAACAGGCAGGGCCACCCCGATTGCCCCCACGCCAGCTCGCTCCCTCCTGTCACAGAGCGCTCACTCCCCCTCACCTACTCTCCCCAGAACTCCTCAGAGCACTGCCAGGGCTGCTCCTCCCACTGCTGGTGTTTTCCGAGAAATTTTCAATGAAATCAAATACAAACTTATGTCCCAAATACAACACTGTAATCTAATCCCAAAGCTCATAGAAACTAAACTTACACCTTTTCAGCAATTTAGAGGTGCTGAGGTGGGGAAAGACTAGCTTGGGGACGTGCCCTGGATGGCTCCCTTCAGGAGTGGAACCAGAATCACAGATGAGGACGTCACTACAGTGGTGTCCATCACTAATGGGCACGCCCTACCAACCTGTGGGGACAGTCGGGGAACTCATCTGAAAGCCCTTGTTGGGGACTGTCTGGTTCAAACGCTCCGACATGACGAGCCCAGGAGTAAGAACACTTGTCTAGCCCAGACTGAGGAATGTGGCAGGACAAATGAGCACGGATCTCACGAGAATGCTAGAAATGGCTGCCTACCCATGTGATGTCTCACTGACGAGAGTAACGTCTCGGGGCTCCTAAATGAAGCTCATGCTCTACCAGTTAAGAAGGTCGGCAGCTTGTTAAGGGATCCTACTGCCCCCTTGTCTTAGAACGTGAAGATGCTCAGCACTCACTCTCAGGAAATAACCATGTCTATAAAACAGCCATTTCCTGAAAAAGTCACAACACAGAAACACAGTGATCTTGACTTCTAGCTTCCTCTAGGGATGTAAAAGGCTGGAAGGATCATAGCTGCCATCCTAATAAGAAAAGGCCAAATAATATATGAAATAATAACCTTTCTTTTTTTTTTTAGAGGTTTTTGCTATAGGGTACATGTGCTCACCAGAGAGACAGAAAGCGAGAAATCACCCCCCGGGGGGGATGGCCATGCCACAATCCCTTCTCCATTTTCCTCTCCGGATCTTGGGCATGCACGCACACGCGCCAGCATGAGTTTAAGCTACCGGGTCCAGGACTCAAACCATGGTCGACTACATGGGATTCCAGCAACATAACCATTACACTAATTACTGATCCCAATAATAACCTTTCTTATGGCTATCAAAAAGCTATCCAACTAGCCTTCAATAATAATAAAAATGAAAAGATGAGAGTTCCTGAGCTGGAACGTGAGCAGCAGCTTACGCAGGCAAACATGAAGGAGGAGCCTCCACGAGGTGGATCAGAGCGTGCAGCTAAAGTCACCACGACCTGCCCAAGGACAGCATGGATGTCACAGAGCTCCTGGAGCCACAGATGCTACGCTAGTTCATACCCATGTGCAGCTTTTCTCCATGGGGAGCTCCGGAGAAAGATGGGGGCAGGGCAGAGGCCAGAGAACACCTCCCTAGATACAGGACTGGGAAGGAGATGCCCCCAGAGCAGAAAAGGTAGGAAGTCCCATCTGGACCTTTCCCACCTAAGTAACAAAAGACAGAAGGCTTATCTCTGAATTCTTTTTTTTAAATGTCTTTTTAAAAAATGATTTTATTTAATTTTTTTCTACAGGGCATCTGTGCTTACCAGAAAGAGGTGGACAGTGAGACAGAAAGTGAGAAAGCAAGCTGCCAGGTCCAGGACTTGAACCACAGTCAGCTATGTGGGAGTCCAATACCTTAGCTCCCATGCCACCTGCTGGCTCTTTACCTCTGAATTCTAAATTTAAGGAGAAATTATACAAATTCCACACAGTCTCTTCCAGAAAAGGAGAAGTATTTCCCAAGATAGGGTCCTGCTATGTTGTGATCCTCCTGGCTCAGCTACCAAGTACTGAGAGGCACATGCTGCCACATTCAGCCCTTCATGGTGGGCTGGAAATAAAAGCCAGACCTCCGCTGTGGCCTCGGCCTGCCCATCAGCCAGCATCAGCCAGCATGTCCCGCCACAGCTGGGCCTGCCAACCGACTTCATGAGGCCAGCACTGTCCTGACACGAAACCAGACAAGATGCTAGAAGGAAAAAAAAAAGAGAGCAGGAAGGAAAAGAAAAACTATACACCTATATCCCTCACAAACATACGGGTCAAATTTATCAACAAACGCCTACTGAGTCTAGCATAACAACTACAAAAGGGATAATACACCATGACTGAGTGTGGTTAACTCTCCAAAAGAGCTGGTATAATATCAATCAATACAATTCACAATATTAATGGAGCACAAAAGAAAAAAATGATCCTATCAACTGACATATAAAAGAGCATTTGTCAGGAACCAGCAGATGGTGTAGTGGTTATGTCGCTGGACTCCCACACGGCCAACGGTAGTTCAAGTCCCAGACCCAGAGGCTTGAAACTCACACTGGACATGTGCGCATGCATGGCCCAAAATTTCAAGGGGAAGAGGGATTGCGCATGCCCTCTCCCCCAGGATGATTTCTGCTTTCTGTTTCTCTGTTTCTTTCTGTCTCTCTGGCAAAGGTAAGGATCCTATAGCAAAAATCTCTTTTAAAACAAAAAGCATTTGACAAAATTCGACATTTACTTATGCTAAACAGTCTCTACAAACTAGAAACAGAAAAGAACTTCTTTAACCTGGTAAAGGCTTCTATAAATATCTACAGCTTACACATCACACTAATAAAGAAAGCCTAGGACCAGCCAGGTGGCGTGGTGAGGACGGCTGGATCCCACAGGGCCTTGTGCACCAACGAGTCCTGGAGCTCGCAGCTTGGAGAACACATCGGCAAACGAAGGGGAAGGGACAGCGGTCCTCGCAGGTGATTTCTCACGTTCTCTCTCTCCCCCTGGTGAGCATACATGCCCAATAGCAAAACAAAACAAAACAAACAAACAAACAAAACACCACACACACACACAAAATAAAATTAAATTTAAAAAACTGTAACAATGAAAGTCTAAAGCTTCCCTGTAAGACCAGGAACAAGGCAAGGATGACTGCTTTCATCACTCATATTCAACATTATACTAGAGGTACTAACCAGCCAAAAAGGCAAGAAAAAAGAAACAAAGTATACAAATAGGAAAGGAAGAAAAAAGACTTGTCTCAATTTGCAGAAAATATGATTATCACATAGAAAAATCTCAAAGGACCTACCCAAAAAACTACTGGAACAAATAAGAAAGTGTATCAAGTTTATCATTTCTGTATCCTAGCAATGAATAATTAGAAAACAAAATTAACCATTTACAGTAACACCAAAATCATGAAATACTTAAGAATAAATTTAACAAATATGTGCAGAATCTGCAGACCGAAACTACAAAAAATGATGTAAACAGTGGTGGTTCATACACTGAAAGGCTTAACTTTGCCTAGCTATCAATTTTCTCCAAATTGATTTAATGATTTCCAGCAGGATTTATTATAGAGTCCTACAAATCTCAGCAGCATTTTTTTTTTTTTAAATTGCCAGAGAGGTCATGTGCTTGCCAGAGAGAGACAGAGACGGGAGGAAGAAAGCTGCCTTTAACAGGGCAATCATGCTGTCCTGCTTTCTACCCCATTCCCCCACTCTGTCAGGGGCCGGGGCACTCACCCACACATTCCTCTCTCCCCCATTCCTCCACCCTGTCAGGGGCCGGGGCACTCACCCACACATACGCACCCGAGTGTTTTTCCAAACCGCCAGGGCCAGGATTCAAACTACAGTTGGCCATGTGGGCTCTGCTTCCCTAACCACTAGACTACAGAGCCAGCCCAGGACTTTCAGTAGAAATCAGTAAGTTGACGCTAATGTTTATATGGAAAAGCAAAGAGTTAGAATAGGCAAAACAATTCAGAAAAACCAAAGTGGAAGAGTCACTGCATCTACCAAATGTAGGAGGTGACAGTCAATAGGCAAAACAATTCAGAAAAAAAAAGTGGAAGAGCCACTGCATCTACCAAATGTAGGAGGTGACAGTAATCCAGAGTGCTGCTAGCAAAAGGACAGACAGACAGATGGCAACAGAGCACAGCCTCTACGAGTGACCTCACCCGCACAGGCAGGTGGATATGATAGAGAGCACCCAACCACCGCACCACCTGCTGGCCCATCACGCTGATTTCTCAAAGCGCTGATGTCTGGCTTTCAACTCCAGATACTCTCATTTGACTGGCCTGGGTTCTAGCATTTTATAAACTCCTGGAGCCAGCAGGTGGCATGATGGTTAAAGCACTGGACTCCTACAAGGTCAACAATGGTTCGTGTCCTGGACCAGGAGGCTTGCTTTCTCACTTTGCCTTTCTTCCTTTCTCTCTCTCTCTCTCTCTCTGGTCAAATTAAATAATAATAACAAATAAGATAAAGTTAAATAATTAAAAAAAAACACTCCCTAGGTAATTCCAACATACAACGAAGCTGGGAATTACTGCCCTAAGGAATTACTCGCATTCACCTGGACCCGCATGGCTTACCACTCCCTACACCTGCATGCCAACCTGGTAAGGAAAGAGGATGGCAGCACAGAGCCGCACACGCGTGTCTGCTCACCCTCACTGGCCAAGCATATGGCCACACCTACTTGTGTGAGATGCTGAAAACATAAATGTTTTATTCAGTCAGCCATGCATCCAACTGAAAATTCATTTATTAGGGAAGTAAAAGACAGACACTTGCTATAACCCACAATCTCCGCCCCCCCCACCCCCTTTCTTTTTCAAACAAAAGCAGTCCAATCTGGCAAAATGACCAATTTTTAGACCTAGAGACAAAAATGCTTAACAGACTTCTCTTACTTTGTCAAATATCTTACATCCAGAAGCAAATGGAGTCAGGGATTGTACAATCATTGTCAGAAGGAGAAAGACCCAAGCTTGAAGGCAAATGTATCAAAATGTTTATGCCAGCAACTGCCTGAGTTAGCACTGGGTGAGGCCTGGCGTTCACTGTTCTACTGGCCAAAGGCAGGCAGCAATATCAAACTCCACCAGCAGGCTCCAGCAGACTGAACACCATGAAGCATTCTCAGCACAAAAAAATCTTTGGAAGAAGGGTCTTCTTTTAAATTCCACCAAACACATCCGGGCCTACAACTTTCTTGTCAAACTGCTGTTGAGGCTCTTCATTCTAGAGTTGCTTAGTACTTTAGTATTCAAGTCTTGTCTTCAGAGGAAACGCAGACACAGTCCACTTGTAAATTCATCATTACACATCCTGGTGCTGCAGCTGACCTACAAAAAATAAAACACATTAACATATGAGGTGACAGGTTACCCTAGAAAGTGATATCAAACTATACATACCTAGATTTTTTTTCTTGAGATTTTTGCCATAAGGCACATGTGCTCACTGGAAAGACAGACAGACAGAAAAAGCAAGAAATCACCTCCTGGAGGGGAAGGCCATGCTACAATCCCTTCTCCTCCATTCTTCTCTTGGGATTTTGGGCATGCACGCACACACGCATGCACACATGCCCAGCATGAGTTTCAAGCCTCTGGGTCCAGGACTCAAACTGCAGTCAGCTAAGTGGGAGTCTAACAATGTAACCACCTGCTGGTCCCAATACCCAGGCTTTTCACATTACAAACCTGTCATTAATTAAACCATTCCTTTATAGAAAATCACTTTCATGATATTCTAGTACTATGCCCTGTTTACAAATTTTAAATACTGGAGTTTGGAGTAATTAAGTAATTTGTTTAAAGTCTCGTAAATGACAGAATTTCTAGGGCTGAATTTTCTTTTTTTTTTAAAGAATTATTTATTAAACTTTATTTGTTATTATTATTATTTCTTAATTTGGCCAGAGACAGACAGTGAGAGAGAGAGAAAGAGAGAGAGTGAGAAAGCAAGCTGCCAGGTCCGGGACTCAAACCGTGGTCACCCATGTGGGAGTCCGGCACCCTAACCACCATGCCACCTGCCGGCCCCTCTAGGGCTGAATTTTTGATGATCGGACTTGTGTGTTACAATCATCCCAACACATCGTTATGTAGCTATCTTCCTGTACAGGTTTTTTACATCCTCCTGTTACTTCCACTCAGCCCTCTCACCTCTCTTCCCTCCAACTAGACAAGGCCCTTCCCTGCCTGTGGCCCCGCAGCACACCCACATGACTTCACAGATGGCCTCTGGCCACCACCTCTCAACAACCCTCTGCAGAGGTGGGCCCAATCAGGTGCTCAACTGCACCACACCAGGTTCTGGCTCCTGTTCAGCACACCCTAGGCAGAGTTTCCCTGGGCTTCTCACTGTGGTTTTGGTTTATCAAGTCTACTTCAGACATTCCTTTATTTCATTCCCACGGAGCGTCTTACCTCCTCTCAGAATTCCCCACTGCCGGTCTCTGTCCTGCTCTCCTTAGGAGATCTGCTACTGGCAGACATCCTAATGCCATTTTCATCACCGCCTTTGGAGATCTGCTCCTGGCAGACATCCTAATGCCATTTTCATCACCTCACACGCTGGCCAAGGGCTCCAGAAGATCTCTATGACTACTTACACCGCTATTATAAGGAAGCCACTATTTCTTCAACATTTATACAACGCTGAGTTTGCGTGTATCTATACTAAGGGGCAGGCTGTAAAATGGTAAAGCCTGAAATGTTTCTAAGGCAACTAGCTATTTGTTATAGTAGTTATGTGCTGGAAAAAGATTTTTTAAAAAATCTCCTAAGGAATCTTTTTATAAATCCATTTGAATAAAGCACATAAGAAAATACAGAAATTATAATAAATGTTTGCAAACCAAGATCAAACATACCTGTGCTACCACTGTCTGGATTCCAATTTAGAAGTAGTACCTACAGACCTTCTGATTAGAAGATGATGGCCACATTACAGTCCCCTTGTGTTTTGCTGTCCTTTGTGTACCTCAGAGGACACCTGGACTTGTAACTCAAGACACATTTTCTTTGGAGAAACTGAAACCATACAGCTAGAAATCTTGCTTATAGAAAAACTGAAAGAAAATCAGTTATCTGATTCCAAAGTGCTTTGTGCTCACAAAATACGACAGCACACACAGAAGCAGCACACATTTCCCATAATATTACGATCATAAGAGGCCACGTGAGTCTTCCACCTAATACTGGGAGAATGCCAGGACAAGCTTAAGCAGGAAACTGCTGATAGCTGAAGTTTAGTAAGAACTGTATCTATGGGATTACAAGTCTTAGGTAGAACTCCTAAAAGATTTCCTTGAAAGTGAAAAGGCAATGAAGACTCAAATACAGGAAATCGAAAACTCCCTTGGAAAGTATTAACAGATTAGACCATGCAGTACATAGAATCTCTGATCTAGAAGACCAAACCTCTGACTTGGTCAACACTACTGAAAAGAATGAAAAAAAAAAAAAAATGAAGACAGCATATGGGAAATAATAGATACCATCAAACACCCAAATATTTGAATAATTGGTATTCCGGCAGGTGAATCTATTAAGGGCACAGACAATCCATTCCATGAAATACTTGCAGGAAGCTTTCCAAACCTAGAGAAACATTCAGACATCCAGACACAGGAAATAAAGGGACACCAAACAGAATCAACATAAAAATATCCTCTCCCTGGCCCATTATAGCCAGATTGGTCAAAATCAAAGACAAAGACAGCATTCTAAAAATTGTAAGTGAAACATCAAGTTACTTAAAAAGGTTATCCTATTAAGCGAAAGTCAGACCTCTCCACTGAAACAATGCAAGCAAGGAAAGACTGGGCAGACATACTCAAAACACTAAAGAAAAACCATTTCAGGGACCAGCAGGTGGCATGGTGGTTAAGGTGCTGGACACTCCCACATGGCCAACCATGGTTCAAGTCCTGGACCTGGTGGCTTGCTTTCACTGTGTGTGTGTGTGTGTGTGTGTGTGTGTGTGTGTGTGTGCATGTGTCTATGGTCAAGTTAAAAATAAATGAATAAATATAATTTAAAAACAAAAACTATTTCAGCCAAGAATACTATACCTGGCTAGCTTAGCCTTCAAATGGGAAGAACAAATAAAATCATTCTCAGATAAACAAAACCTAAAGGAATTTACCAGCACTTGACCAGTTCTTCAAGAAGTACTGAAGGGAGTACTATGTCAGGAAAACTAAAGATAGAGAAACAGAAATAAGAGAATAAAAAACCACCAAGAAAATGGCTAACAAAATGGCAGGGATAAGTCCACAAATACTGATAACAACACTGAATGTTAATGGATTAAATTCTCCAATTAAAAGACATAGACTGATTAGGAAAAAATTAGATATTTAGGAAAAAACCTAACCAAGTATGCTAAAGACCTCTACAAGGAAAACTATGAAAAAACGTTGTGGGAGGCTGTGCACCAGCGAGTCTGCCGAGGCCATTTTCATGAGTCTCTTACTATTGCCATCTTAGGCTCAGAGAGCAAACAATTACAAAAGCCACAATTGGCTCCCCTTCAAAAACCTCACCTTCAACACCACACTCTGATTGGCCACTTCCCATAGCAAATCGGTGAGCTTAGAATCCCTCAGATTTGCATATCCGGCACCTCATGATTGGTCCACAAAGCAACCAATCATAACCCACCTTTTGCTATCCTTCATTCAACCAATCACGGCCCACCAATGTGTATATAAGCATGATCCCTGGTCCATAACCGCCAGACTACCCCGAAGACCCTGAAGAGCTACGACACCGTGCCGTCTCCGGACGACCCTGAGCTGTGACGCTGCGTCGTCTCCGGATGACCCTGAGCACTGTGTCGTCTCCGTGCTGCCTACAATAAAGAGACGACCCTGAAGAGACACTGTGTCGTCTCCATGCTGTGATAGTGCGCCGTTCGTCCTGTCTCTCACTCCTTCCCTCAGGAAACCTGTTCTACTGTCCCGCGGGCCTATGCTAAAGACCTCTACAGGGAAAACTATGAAAAAACGTTAAAAAGAAATTGAAAATAATACCAAAAAAGTCGAAAGACATCCCATGTTCCTGGATTGGAAGATTAATATAGTGAAAATGTCAATCCTACCCAAATTAACCTACAAATTTGCCCCACCCTGGGGTGAAGAGATAAAATATCCTGAGGGTAAGGGCTGTGGGCTGAGGAAGAACAGAACAGACAAAATGGTCCAAACTATTCTGTGCTCATTCTTTTTTTTTTGGAGAGGTATTTGCTATAGGGCGTGTGTGCTCGCCAAAAAGACAGAGAGACAGAAAGTGAGAAATTACCCGCACAGGTGGGATAGCCACGCCACAGTCCCTCTCCTCCATTCTCCTCTTGGGATCTTGGGCACACATGCACACATGCCTGAGTTTAAGCCACCAGGTCCGGGACTTGAACCGTGATCGACCACATGGGAGTCCAGAGACATAGCCATTACGCCAACTGCTGGTCCCTGTGCTCATTCTTTTATAGGGTAGGCAAAGCCACCTGATTCAGCTGCAGAGCACCTTATGGTTCTACCAGCCCATCTTGGCCTTCTCTGCCTAATGCTCAGGTTATTCCAAGTTTCTGTGTGACCCAGTCAGACAACTGGATACAATCCAGTTAATATCACCCAGCTGTAGATTATGCCTTTGTTTAGAGCTTTCAGCATTATACACAAAGACTGTATCCACTTTAAGGTGCTTCCTGCACAAATTGAACACAATTCTGATCAAATTACCAGAGAGATTGGCCACAGAAATAGAAAAAAGTCATAAAATGTGTCTGGAATCATAAAAGGCCCTATATCATCAAAGCAATACTGTGCAAAAAGAATAAACTAGGAGGTATCTCACTTCCTGACCTCAAAACGAATTACAAAGCTGTGATAATCAAAACAGAAAGCTGCTGATACAAACACAGGCATGTGCAACAATGTGGCAGAAGAGAGAACTCAGAAATAAACCCCCAGACAACTGATTTTTGACAAAGGGCACAAGACAATCCAGGCAGACAAAAATCTCTTTAGCATATGGGTGCTGGAAATACTGGATATCTACCTGCATAAAAATGAAACAAGACCAGCAGATGGCAAAATGACTAAGTCGCTGACTCCCACGTGGCCAGACCTGAAGGCTTAAAACTAACACTAGGCATGTGTGCCCAAGATCTTGGGAGGAGAATGAAGGAGAGGGTATTATGGTGTGGTCATTGCCCCGGGAGGTGATTTCTCACTTTCTGTATCTCTCTACAGCAAGTGCACACTCCCTACAGCAAAAAAAGTCTCTTAAAAAAAAAAAAAAAGAAAAATGAAACAGGATCCCTATCTCTCTCA